CATCAACATCAACATCAACATCAACATCAACATCAACATCAACAACAACGTCTGATGCTGAAACTACAATTGAATCCGACACTACAACCACAACAAACTCCATCAGTACTGCAGTTGATACTACAACTACATCAACAGTATCAGAATCTACGGCTTCATTAGAATTCGTAACACTACTGAACAGTGAAATACTAACGGAATCAATCAATACTGTAGATTCTTCTATCTTAGCAGCGATTGATACTGCATCAGTGACGCCCGCATCAATATCCTCATTCGAAAATACGGTAGCTTCTGACAATTCAATTGCAACAGACGCAACCGACATTGTAGATCAGTTTAGTGTAACAGTAACTAATAGCACATTCAATTCTACGACGACATCAACAACATTAGAATCAACAGCTATTTCCGACATTACAATAATGTCAGAATCTATTGTTACTGAAACATTAACTAGCAGTGAAGATTCTACGAATACATTACCGGATCAAATCTTGTTTAAATTCGTCACTGATTTAGATATAACAGCTACATGGAATTCAGAAACGAATTCAGATATAAATACTATATCATTAAATTCTACAACTACACCAGAAGTAACAAGCACATTAGAGTCCACCACTACTACTACCTCCGAAATCTCAGTAATATTAAACTACTCAACTGATAAAGAAGAAACTTCGACTACAACAAATCTCATAACTGTCACTGATATGGAAGGTACAACAGTATGTAAGTATTTCAATAACTTTAAGACATTAATCAAACGAAAAACTATATGCATAATCTCTTTTTTTTCTATTTTAGAAATAAGATCAATATTCTAAGTAAGATTTACATAATTGATATATGATTTGTTTATATTCAGCTATGGTCAATGGTACAATGAAGTCATATCGAAGAATAACGATTGAAAGTAACTTTCAATGTCATTGTAATAATATTTTGTAAAGCTTCATTTTATTTTATTTTATTTTTTTTCATTTGATAAATACTTATAATTCGGAAGAATATATTGAATATAAATTTGATTCAAGAATCTATAATCTCGTATAATTAAAAAATTATTGACCTATCGCAAATAACAGAACAATAATATGTACACTTATTCGAATAAAAATATCGATATAAATCTTATTAAATCAAAATATTTGTGTTTTTTCTCAGACAAAAGCATTGTGATAAATAAATTTAATAATGACATATGGAAAATGCTATGCCTTGATTGAACTATTTAGTTAGATTAGAATCGTAATTTTCACATTGTAGAGTTAATAAATGAAATGTATAAGACTAATTTAATTATTTCGTCTTTTCGACATAAAGTGACAACTATAACAAAAAAATGGTTCTATTGATATTGCTGACTTTCAGTTAGCCAATCAAAAACATTCGCCACACCTTTTATTTTGAATTGTATCTGAATCAAAATTTTTAATATTCATTACATTTTTCTTATTTTAACGATCAAAAAAAGCTAAATAGTATGCCTCATCAATATTCATTATTATTCTAACAAAAGAGAATCCAAAATGTTCGATTCAATATCAGATGATTTATCAAAAACTACTAAAATGCGTCCACTCGGTGATGTTTTACATATTTTTATTTTACTTATTCTAAGTAAATTATTAAAAACATTCGCCTTATTTATTACCTATGATTTATTAAAATCATTTCATGTTATATTAATTTTATTTCTTATTACATTTATTGCTTCTATTTTTTTAATATTCATACAAAAACCATTTTCATCATTTCGATTCAATAAAATAATAATCTTTCGTTTAATTAAATATACAATATGTCTTACTATTATACGTCTTTTATGGTTGTTTGGTTTAACATTATGTGGACCATTGAGAACAATTCTATTATTTGAACACAGTGATATTGTTATTCTTGCATGTTTTCATGTATTATTTTCATCATCATCAAATCTTGGACAACAACAACAAGAAAAAACATCACGTATACGTGGTGTTGTATTTTTTATATTAGCTATTTTAGGAATATTTGCATTTGATAATGATGATGCAAGACAACGAGTAAGAATTTAATAAATATATATATATTTGTTTTTATTCTGATTTTAAATATAGATATTAGATCATCCGGAAGGTCATACACGTCATCGTTTAATTGCACATATGTTCTATCGATTAACATCATTGATCGGTGTTGCTGATCATAAAGGTGGTGTTATTCTATTACTTATTGCATTGTTTATGCGATGTATCATAAATTCATCAAACCAAAAATTAGTACTTGATGTTGGTGGACCTAAGAAATTCTATGCTATAACAACATGTCTATCAACAGTTTGCCTCATACCAATATCATTTATTATGTTGTTAATAAATAATCTTTTTGTAAGAATATTTTCATTTAATATTCCCTAAAAAAATAATTTATATCTTTTTAAGCCTGAATCAATAGATTCGGTATATACGACAGTTCAAACAACATTACCATCGACAATTTCATCATCATCATTTTCTAATAATACTATATTATTAATTATTTCAATAGTATTTCTTAGTATTTTAATATTTGTATCGGATTTTTATGTTGAACAAGTTGCTGTTGTAAAACTTGAACGATTACGAACATTTCGATATAGTACATTTATTATGATTGGTAGTGCAATTATTGCATCGTTTCTTTGGACAAAATCCGTAACAATAGCAAATGATAAATCTGTATCGTTTACGAAAAATATTATACAAAATGAATTTGAAGAACATGCATTATCCGGTGGTGTTGTATTTGCTATTATTATGTTTATATTTGCAACGGATCTTCTATCAAAACCACTTCAACAAAGATCAGGTGCATTTATTGGTTATAGTCAAGATGGCATGCCAGTATTTAATTTAACACAACAAAAACCTCAATCATTATTATTTATTATACGTACAAGTCTACGAGAAATTTTAGCGGAAACGGATTCAAGAAAAATCTTTTATTTTCTTTGTATTAATCTCGTAAGTATAATAATATGAAATGTTTTTAATAAATATATGTTTTGGGGAATTTGAATTAGATGTTTACATTTGTGGAACTTTTATATGGTGCTTGGACAAATTCACTTGGATTGATTAGTGATGGTTTTCATATGTTATTTGATTGTACAGCACTTGTTGTTGGTCTTTATGCAGCTCTTATGTCTCGATGGAAACCTACACGTGTATTTTCATATGGATATGGTCGAGTAGAAGTTCTCTCAGGATTTGTTAATGGTTTATTTCTTGTTGTTGTGGCTTTTTTTGTCTTCTATGAAGCAATTGGTCGTCTTATTGATCCTCCAGAAATTAATACAAATCGTTTATTAGCTGTTTCTGTAGCAGGATTTGCTGTTAACATGATTGGTATTTTTTCATTCAGCCATGCTCATGCACATGCTCATGGCGGTGGTGGTAGTTGCGCAATGAGTCAACCGACTACAACGAAAGAACAACATCATCATTCTCATGATGAACACAGTCATTCACATAATGGAGATCACGGACATTCACATGCATCCATTGAAAAATCAAGTCATAGTCATTCACTTACGGATAATGCTAATATGAAAGGTAATTTTTCATTATCTTCATTCATTACTAAATTTTTATGTTTTGTTTTCTTTAGGTGTTTTTCTTCATGTCTTAGCTGATACATTAGGCAGTGTAAATATCTTTTAAACATTCAAAATAATTTTATCTATATAGAAATTCTTCTAGGTTGGTGTTATTATTTCATCATTACTTATTCAATATTTTGGGTGGTATATATCAGATCCAATATGTTCATTATTTATTTCAATAATGATTTTTCTTTCTGTTCTTCCACTTTTAAAAGATAGTGCTATGACACTTCTTTTACAAACTCCATCAAATATAAAATATGAAATTCTTGAACGAATTTTAAAACTTGAAAATGTTCTTTCATATTCTGATGAACATTTTTGGAATCTTTCATCTTCAATGATTGTTGGATCGATTCATATACAAATTTCAAATAATGGTGATGAACAACGTGTTACTAGTCAAGTTTGTTTTTATTGTTTTTTTCTTTTATGATTTCTTTATTAAATTTCTTTAGGTACAAGCTATTCTAAAAGAAGCTCAAATACAAAATTTAACTGTGCAAGTAGAAAAACAAGTCTTCTTTAATCATTTAACTGGACTTAATTCAGCTCTTGGCCAACTAGCCACATCTCAAAATTTTTTCAATCGATAGATATATATATTTTTCTGATCAACTTTTATTTTTCTATTCTACTAATATTTCTGTTTCTACTTGTTATGATTCTTATATCATATGATAAATTTATGTGAAGTGATTTATTTGTTGTAATATTGTTATTCATTGAATATCTTTTATAAGAAAAAAATTTATATTATATCTCATCGTTATTCTTGCTAATGTTTAAATTGAGAAATATACTTGATTGCATATTTTGTGATATTATATAAACAAGATACTGTATTATATCAAAAAATACTTGTTAGAGTTTCAACGTTATCTCCTCATATCATCTTTCAATTAATTCAATAAAGATGATATTTGAAAATATCTATTCTAAAAATTTGAGCACAATATCTAATTATAGATTAATATAGCTAGATTAAATGTCTGTAAAATAAAAATACGTATAAAAGTTTTCATTTTTTCATGAAGATTGCGAACTGATAGCTGTATTAACAGCTGCAACAATGCCAGCTTGTGATATAGAGCCACAGTACAGAGCACCAGATTCTATAATAAAAATCATCAATATAAAAAATGAAGTGTTTCGTACTGGTAATATACTTACGATTTGCATAAAAGTTTGTACTAGTAATGGATGAAATTCTATATGGATGACCATCGGTTTGATCTGAAGCTCCAAAGAATGTAGTTGGAAAATTGCTGACGGGTTGTGTAGTCGATGATGGATTGATGCTGAATGATGTAAAAGTTACACCAGATGAGCAAGGAGGGATAGCACCATCAGTAATAGTTATTTGAGCACTGTTGGCAGTAACGATTTGAGTACAACTTCCTGCAGGAGTCGTCACAAGGCCACTAGAAACACTGATCATGCAGGGCACATTCATTAATGATACCGTAGAGCTTAAACATGTATTAATCCGATTCAAACGTCGCTGACGGCAAACGCTGTTCCGCTGAGAACTAGAATAGTATAATCCAGAAGATGCTGGAGCATCTAGACAACGTGTTTTATAGTATATCTTAGCAGCACAACTAAGTGTGTAATAGGTTAAAGGATACGATGCACTTGCAGCATTAGATAAACCAGTTACAACACAGTTGGATAAAATACATGCAGTTAATAATGAATCAGAATAACATGTTTGCAAAGTTCGATAACACTATTAATAGAATATCTATATCAATACATTAAAAAAAAATATTCTTTGAACTTACAGCTTCACTAAGAGCATAGTTATTAAATACTTTTGCATTTGGAAGAAGTGGAGAAATTATCGATAACAATTGAAAGGTACAATTATCAGTTACAGATACCATTTCTGTTTCTGAAACTCTATAATTATTAAGACCTGTGCAAGAACCGGTAACTGTGGATGAGGGCGGACTCGATTGAAAACTATATGATCTGCTAGCCATTGAATCTGTGAATGTTGTATTATATTGTGGGATTTGAAAACCCGCTGTTAACGTATACCCATTAATACAATAAACTAAAATAAGAACAACAGGACATGCTGTACAATATCATACAACTAAGCATATATATATATATATCTACCTTCTCCATATGCATCATCTGGATTTCTACTCAAGTATAATGGAATAAGAGAAACAATTAATACAATAGCAAAACTGATCAACGACGTACAAAGTGCACATATACTGCTATATGCTACAACCGCTGCTACAGTTGCTCGAAATCTTTTAATTAAATATTTCAATGAATATGATCTATTGTAAATAATATTACTTACCGATCAAGCATGAACTTATATGCCCAAGCAGCTGGATTCATTTCTTTGAATTTTTCTAAGAACTAAAACGATAGAAGAATCAAATAGTATGTGTTACTTGTCTAATAATTTCTGACAGTATAATTATATTGTAATTGTGATATATATATAACGTATAATCAACTAATTATTTATCTGACAATAATATATTTATATTTTGTCACGGCTGGTTGGTCTTATTTAACATACAAACATGTTTTCCTATTGTATTAAATATACAGGACAACAAAAAAAAATATATATACATCTCCCTCATATTTCATTTTCATCTTTTTATGTACATTTCCTATACAACAAACAATAGTATGAATATGAAATATTGCATTACAATTTTCACATTGAATAGATTACACCGGTACCTAACAACAAAATAATAATAATGATGACACTCACAAACAGTATATAAACATTCCTGTATAATCGATCGAAATTATCTGCTACTAATAAAAATATCGATCAACTAATCTACAAATAACATTTCAATAATTTACATGAAAAAAGATACGTAGATGTTGATCTATCTGCTATAATTGCTTCTTTTTCAATATTTAGATCATTAGTTTCTAACTCATTATTTCACCATAAACAATAAGTATTCTTATCAAACCTTGATCGTGCTAGTTAATTCGTAAATATTATTTTGTTATCTTTGTAAAAACAGCAAAGGTACTTATCAATGACAATAACCATTTTGTTAACACAAAGAATTATTTTGATTGCAAATAATAATCAATCATTTTTTTTCTATATATTTGTCAACATAGACGACTACCTATCATAATATCATTAGCATTTAACGAGGGTATAAAAATAATTACTTATTTTTTTGTCATTTAATGTCATGTTTTTGTAATTTAATATCATGTTTTTGAATTTTTTAATTATGCAATCGATATCGGTCTAAAAAGTAATTTATTTGCATTAGTAATATCTCCTAAACACATTAAATAATAATTTATTTTATTTTTTAGTATGACCCGTGATCGAGATTTTCTTTCGTTTGAAAATATGACGAAGTTACTTTTTACATAAGATAGCATTTGATATCATTAATAGAATTTACGTCATTTTTTTATTATTTTTATTTTTAGTTCAAAGAATTATATCATGTGCCATTAAAAATGTTACTATAAAAAAAGATCGACATGCAACACAGACTTCTTTTTCATCACGTTTTCTAATATGAGTATAAGATTCATTAATAGTTAATTTTTTCTTTCAGTTATTAAGTGAAATTACTATAGCATAGTAATAAAAAGAGATCTCATTATGTTCATTAATAATTTTAATAGATCATAGACGATTTTCACATTTGCATAGCAACAACAAAAGAAGATGCGAGAATAATAAGCACTAACATAAAAATAATTATAAATTTCATTTTAAAAATAAAACTTCATTCCTGAGATTCTGTTTCCTCAAATATAAGTTCTCCAATATTTTCTTTACATAATTGACTAACAGTGGCAAGTGAATCGATAATCTATACAAACAAATATAATTCTAACATATACATATATCGATAAAATTTACCTGAAGGATTTGATCAAATATTGATTTTGCTTCATCTTCAGTACGTGTTATACATAATTGAATATAAAGTGCATACATATAACAATATTTAATAATATGTACACTTTCGGAATCAATTAAATTTTCATCTGGTAAACAAAGAACTATAGGAATAATTAGACTATGTTCAACTTGTGTTATATTTAATGAATGAAGACGTTGAGAACATTCATGTAAAGCATCTGTTGTCTTTTTTCCAATAAATTGACTCATAAAAAAACGAGTATAATGTAAACCATTTATTGTCATTATATAAGATTCATTCTGATAAAATAATGGATAATGATACATCTAAAATGTATTTATTTCTTAATAATATAATATAATAAATATATATAACTTACTATCCAAAACTCGAATATTCGATTATTTAAAATGCGAGACAAATCATCTACATTTAATTCATTCAAACCAGGTGTCTAAAATGAGAATATGTTAATCTTATTATGAATATTATAAACTTAAGAAATAATCAGCTTAAATCTATTTTGATATATGAGAAAATACTTAAAAGAAATATAGGATTTATAGAGTAAAAGCTTCAGTCTCAACAAATATCTTACAGACAATAATGGTTCAATAACTAGTGATAGAATGCGTAACCAGAAAAGTTGTAAGTGTAGACTCAGCGTCTAGAGAGGCTGTGGGAGTGGTTTTTAAGCAAAGGTAAACTATTCTTAGGGAAAAGCTGAGCTCCCGTCTGGCTACTGAAACTATAATATTAGAGAAAAAAAATTAATCGATTTTCTGTTATACTAAGAAATCATATGTTCTTACATTTTTAGCAAAATCAAGTAATTTATTAACATCTTGTGATATACTAGCATGTACATCTTTCCACATTTGTTTTGATGTTGCATGAATACCGGGATATTCTGTTATCTTGAAAGAAAAATATATATATATATATATTTTAAGATTCTATAAATATATATTTACACCGAGATTAATAATACCAAACATTCTTTCGACATGCACTTGTAATATTTTCGTATGTTTTAAATAAAAATTCAGCATTTTCCAACGTATATAACGAAAAAATGATGTAACTTCAAAATCAAGTTCATAAATAAGAAATGGTTGACAAAGTTTTTGTGAAAGATATTTCATAATTTGAAGAATATTTTTTGAATAACGTACTTCATAATTAAACATATAAGTTATTAAAGTATTTTCATTTATTTTTAATATATATTTTGATACAGTCATTATATTCTTATCATTCATTGACAGAAACTTTTCATTTGATTTCATTAAAGTATTCGATCTTGTGTCTGATATTGAACAAGATTCATAAAAAATCGATGGTAAACGAAGTGTGGATAAACTATTATTAAAATTATCAATATGAAGATTAGATGATGATATAGTTAATTCAATTACATCTGCAATTCGAATTGATTGTTCGGAATAATTTAATATTTCTAAATAAATATAAAAACAGAGTTTTAAAACTTTACGAATTCATGATTATTATTTACGTTGAGGTAAAATAATGAAATCTGGACTAGAATCAGTTGATTGACATAGATCCATACTCGAAGAATCTGATGATGATGATGCTGATTCACTTTTTACATTTAATAATTTATGATTATCTATTTTACAATTAACAGATTCTTCTTTAAAATATAATTGATCAATTTGATGATTTTGTTGTTGTTTATGATAATTTCTTAATGCTTTTTCTTTAACTTTTTTTGGTATTCGACCCATTTTAACACTTTCCATTGCCATACCATGTTCAACACATCGTTTAAATCGACATGCTTTACATCGATTACGTGTTTCAATATTAATTATACATTTATTACCAAAATAACATTCATATGGTATACCTTGCGTTATACTTCTTTTGAAAAAGCCCTATTGAAAACATAAGTATTATTCTTGAAAAGAAATTATTTCATAATTAATAGAGAAACTAACTTTACATCCTTCACATGTAATAACACCATAGTGAACTCCAGTAGCTCTATCATGACATATTCGACTAGATCAATAAATAAAGATTTATTGAATAAAGAATTATTTTTTTTTATTAAATCTTACCATTTTCCAAATGGAAATGAAATTGGTTTTTTCTCTTGTTTTTCTTTCATAGTCAATGTTACTTGATCATGTTGTACCGAGAGAGTCACATCCTGCTGTTCTTGCTCTGATGTTGAATCTCTATGAAATGTTTGTAAAGATGATAAATTTTGTGTTATATCGTTTATTATTTCCATACTATTCATATTCAATCCTATGATATTTTTTTTTCTAAAGAAAAATAGAAATAGACAAACCATTAAAGTATATAATATTGTTATGAAGAATCGTTTTCATATAAAATATGTTGTTTGTCTCTGGTGATGTCTCATGCAAGCAGCATGTATGAGACGCTTTACTCAGTTAAAAACAGAACACAAAATTATGACACGAAGAGAAAAAAAAAGGGTAAGAAAACAATGAAGAAAATATACGGCTCGCTCCATGTTTTTCTTTTATATTTTTACTTCACAATTGCTCTCAAAAATGCCATAATGAAAAATAATTGACGTCACGTACATATGTTAAATTTCTAATAAAAATTCGAAGAAATCTGAAAAATGAAGATGTACCTATCGCACTGATTACCATTTCGTTTCATTTTACTGTCACCTGATCTAATGATACATTAAAAATAAAAGTACTGAAATACAAATCTTATGTCTTACTATTTGATCTATCATCAACGGGATATATAAGAACGATATTGAATTCAAGTATAAACTTCACTTCTCAGATTTTTTAACAGTAGTAAAATGTAATTTAATAAAATCATTCGAATTTAATAGAAGGTAAATTGTTGTTACTCAGATTTGGTAATCTATACAAAAGTGAACAAATATAATTTATTCAAACAGACATGATGAACAAAAAGATAAATAGAAATTTAATATTCTTTATATGTAAATGACAAGACAACAAAGTTTTCTATTAGTTATATATCTCATATAATACTATAATATAATGTCATAATAACTTCTGTTATTTTTTTAAGGAAGTACAAAAGTATTTAATTGAAAAAAACTGTTAAAATGTCTTCCGTTTTATAAATTATAAATGTTGAATCTATGATATTTTCTATTATGAAATCGATAAATTTTAAAGAAGAAAAACGTTTTTTTTTTATTATTCAACATTCATTTAAAAAATCATACAATTCACATTCGGTATATAAAACTGCATTTATTCTATTTTTAATCAATAAAATGTTATTTTTTAAATGAATTTAATCGTTTATATCAAAAAACAATGACAGAAAAAAAAAGAAGATGTGTGAATACGATAATTACAATTTGAACAAATAAAGACAAAATGTATGTTACGATTCATCTTTGCTCTAAAAATAGGAAAAAAAAGAATTTTAAAAGAAAATACAAACATAAAATAACTTACAAGAGAAATCATTAATGGCCTGGCTGTTGATGTTGGTTTTCTCATACTATTACTGTTCGTTGTTAGAATTGATTCACTTGCACTAACCATACTTGTAGTTGAATCAAATGATGTTGTTTGTCGACTTGAATTTGAATGTCGAAATATTGCTTTTGCGGTTGAACTTGTCGGATCTTTTTCAACATTTCGTAAAAGATCCGGAATGTCAATAGTTTTTGATTTGTCTGTAGAAGAAAGATTTGGAGGTCGTCGATAACTATCAAATGAATTATCAGTATTCGTAGTTGTTTGTTTAACTTGTTCATCTTGTTTTGATTCTGTTATATTCATATCAGATGTAGGTTTTTTCGATTTTGATGCTTTATCAGATGTTACATCAAATTTATGAATAAGATCTTTTAATCCTGATGTTCGTCTAACTAATGTTGAACCAGTTGGTTCTGCGTTTGAATCTTTATTAGATGTACCATTTGAGGAAGATGTTTTAGATGTCGTCTTTTTTAATTCAACTAAACGACCACGATGTTTAGGTTGAACAGTCGTAGATGTAGACACAGGTGGTGGTAATTTCTTTTTATTATCTTTCGGAGCATTTGATGATGGTAATGAAACCGGAAGTGTTTGTGTATTAGCAGGAATGGGATCTGATGGTGGAGGTGGTGGTGGTGGAGATGGTTCTTGTTCAGGTATAACAGCATCTTTCGAACGAAAACGAAATGGTGAACGATGTCTTAATGTTTTTAATATGCCTTTTGATGGTCGATTTCCATTTTGATCGGATTTTCTTAATGTACGTTCTTTTGTTTCTAAATCAATATCTTCATCAAGAAAATGAACAGTTGCTGATGTTGGTGATGTGGGTGATGTTGCTCCTCCTTTTTCGGGAGATTGTACACGAAAACGAAAACGACGACTTAATGAAAAAAAACGATTTTTTGATATACCCATTGCACTTCCACTTGCTGTTGCTATAACTGAATTTGACATTATATCAGATATAACACTATCATCTGGTGATGATATTATAGATGGCAAACGTTCATGACTATTATTTGTATTATTATTATCAAAACGAGATCGACGATTACTTGTAGTTGAAGATGTAGCGAGATTATTTTCTGGTGGAGCTGAAGCTAATCGTTTCTTAGCTGCTAGAGTATCGGAATAATTTGCTATATTGGTAAAACTATCATCACGAACAATTGATGCACTCTTTTCAGATTTTCTAAAAAAATGAAAACAAAATTATATAGGCTAGCTAAAATCAAATAATACGAATCCAAAGTTGAATTTGCACATTTTGTTCTCATAAAAAACTTCCTTCTCGTCTTATGATGAATACTGACTTACGATATGTCTGAAAACTAAAGATATGCTCTCTCTCTCTCTACGAACATACAAAAGAGTATGTTTTTCTTCTCCGGATGCATACGGTGAGATCGAACAGGAAGATCATCATTACCATTTGTTTCTCTCTTTTCTTTTTGCTTCTAGAGTGCCACATTATATTTATATGCAAACGTCGACAATAATAATAAGAATATTCAGTGATAGAAATACACCCCATGAGAGAGAGAACGAAGAGTAATTACCACCGATCATGTCATATATCACTCAATCAATATAGAAGATCATGTCATTCACGTTTTTTTCCTTTGGACATATAGTACGAGAATGTTATAAGAACGAGTAATTTTTCTTTTCTTTGTTTTTGATTGAATTAATATTAGGAGGGGAAATGAAGTGTCATTTCTTTCATACTTACGCTCGAATGAAATCCATAAAACGTCTGTATGAAAATAAATGATCTTCAACACGATCAATTTTACTTGCAATCTACAAATAGATAATAAAATAAAATGTGATTATTTTCTTCATAGATCAAAACAAACCTCTTCAATACTAGCTGCGGTATTCTCTTGTGCTGAATAAGTTTTATCAAACATTCGTTGTTTATCTTTATCATTGATTGATACGGGTAATGGTGTTGAATCATCCATTGTACCAACAATTTCATTAATACTAACTGCTCGTCCATCGAGTGTTCCGTGTGGAAGTTCAATATCATCAGCTAATGTTTCACGACTAAAACTTGATAGACTTGTTTTTGTTGTTGCATCGTGTTGATAACTATTCATTGATAATGGACCAATACTATTATCAAGAATAATTTGGCTTGTATTATCACCACTAGATTTGATCTAAAGATAAAAAATATTTTGTTATTCAATTAGATTCACACATGTGGATATAACATCATGTATATGGATTGACGATAAGAGTAGGCACAATTGATTTCTATATGTCTTTAAGGGGATGTAGGTCAATCAAATAGATCAATGTTAACCTTGATCCATTCACCTGGGGGTCCAGACAGACTCCAACAACTTTTATTTTAATAATATATGCGCAAAAGTCACAGTCAAATCACATCTCTTTAGGTATGCTACTGACGCTAGTCATTCGCTAACATTAATTATTTATGTGGTAAACTATTTCGAAATATATGTGAGCAGTTGTTGACCACCTGGAGTCCGTCCGTGCCCTAGTGAGATTTAATTTGATTTCCTGTATTCGTTACGTCAGCTGTTAAGGACCCTTAGTAGAGTATGCTGCCAACATCAGTCAATCAAATCCAGCTATTGCTAGTGCGAAAAAGTACGCATAGATGCTGACAACGCGTAAAGTCAGTTATAATTCTATTTGTTCTTCTTACAACTAAGTCTGCTCTAGAACCAGTATGGTTCCATAATAAAACCATGACAGTTTTATCATCTTGGGATTCACACGGACCCCAAGTGAGCGGATCAGGATTGAAAGAAAACTTTCTGAGTAGTTATTTTTTTTTCTCTAAATTTCTAAGAATATTCCGACTTGTACACGTAACCGGTTGTGATTCCGTCACTTTTTTTAAGATGACTGAAGATTCGAGACAGCTTTGCAGCCTCTCATTATAGAGAGTACGACTGTTTCTACAAAATCGTCAATGAATTTAATCCTTGACACTGAGTCGTTTCTTTATAATGAAAAAATAAGACGTGACAGAATCACGTTTTACGTGAACAGACTGATTCATTACCTGTTTTAATAAACGATCAAATTTGAATAAGACTGATTCTTTTGTATTACATTGCAATCTTAATTGAGCATATAAATCACTTTGTTGTTTTCTCCAATAATTCCAATCGGATGAATTTTTATCACGTAAATGTTGCATTTCTCCTTTAAGTAATTGAACATCATCAATAACAATTTCAAGTTCTTTGATTTTATTTAATAATAATTCATTTTCTGTCATTAAAATATTGATTTTTTCTGTAATATGTGTTGGTGTTTCTCGATTTGTTATTTGTTTTTGTAAATCTTTTATTAATTGTTGAGATTGTTGAAGTTGTTTTTGTAAATCATTTCGTTCTTTTTTCCATGTTGTATCAAGATCTTTTCGTTGACGTTTTGTTACTTTTGATAATTGTTCTTCAATCTAAACAAAAACAAGAATTAATATTTTTTTCTCATTAAAAAATGTTTTCTATTTACTTCATTGATTTTTCCATTTAATTCAACACGTTGTATTTCCCATTGTTGTTTATCAATATTATATTTATTTTGTTTTTCTTGACTATGTAATTCAAGATCATATAATTTTTGACGAAGACGATCAACAGCATTTTGTAATTCAGATTTCATTTTAATACTTTCATCATACTAGAAATATATAGAAGATAAATTAAATTTTTTAATGCAAAATGATTTTACTTTGCGTTGTTTTTCTGACATTTCAGTTTTAACTCGTGCCCATGCATGTCCATCAGCATCATATTTTATTTGTAATTCTTTATATTTCTTTTCAATTTCTTTTATAATTTTTAATAATTCATCTTTTTCATTATTTGATTGATTAAGACGAAGTTTATAGGATTCAATTTCGGCATCGACTATTTGTTTATGACATTCAGCTTTAACACGTGCTATTTCATCTTCAACTGAAATTGATTTTGGTCGATCCTAAACAGATAATAAATTTATATATGTATAAGCAAAAATAATCAATTATATTTCAATACAATGCAAATGAAATACAGTCGGCATAGATCGTAAAGACGAGGCATTCGGGATTTAATATTTCTTTATGATCCGTTATATTTTTTCATCTACTCGTATAATAAAGGAAATACTCATTCGAAACGTTAGTGCTTATCGTAAACGGATATTTATTATAATTCTATTTCATCTTAAGACTCAAGTTGATCTCTATTCCAAAAATAAATATTTATTTAATTTTTAATGTAAATAAAACAAGATAAATGATACTATTATTAATACTGACAGTTATATATATATATAGATTAATTTTTTGATAATTACATGTTTTTCAGTTTAGATTTATTAATAATCTATCAAATAGATGTAAACTTACACTGTGTTGATTTACACGTAAATTTTCCATATCAAATCTTAACATTTCTTTTTCGATATTTAATTTTTCAATTTCTTTTGTCATTGCATGAATTTGTTCTTCTAATTGTTTTCCCAATGTATAATATTTATCTTCAAGTTCACGTAATTCTAATCGATGTTTTTGACATTCTTTTACTTTTGTTTCAATAATATCTTCTTTTTCAATTATTTTCATTGATAATTCATTAACACGTGTTTGTTTTTGATCAAGTTTTTTTTCAAATGTTACTATTGATTGACGTAGTTGTTCTACGTGTCGAGAATCTTGTAATTGTTTTGTATTTAGTACTGCTAAACGTTGATTTTCTTTTTGTAATTCATTATTAATTATTTTTTGTTGTTCAAATGTTTTTTCTAATGTTTGATTTGTTATTAATTGATTTTGAAGTTGTTCTTCGAGTTTTTTCGATGATAATTGAATATTATCAATTGTTGTTTGTAATTGATGACAAATTTGTTGTGTATCTTCTAAATCACGTTTAGTTAAATCAAGTTCTTCTAATAATGTACATGTATCATTTGCATCATATGTTAAATTTGTTAAACGATAACGAATTTTATCAAGAATCTCATGTTTATTTTGTAAAAGAGTTAGAAATTCATTTGCTTGTTGATTAATTTCAGTGGTTTCTTGATTTGTCTTAGTAATTGTATTTGAAAGTTGATCGTCCTGAAAAACAAAAATTTATAGTTGTTTTTAACAAGATTCTTATTTTAAATAATTAGAAAAAATGAAAAAAAGGAGTCGTCTACTGAGATTTATTTTTAATAATAATTAACATCATTTTTCTCTTCTCAAATATTGACAGGAAGACATCATCATTTCAAATGAATAATTATTAGAAGTTTCTCGCAATAGAATCTCCTCCAATTAATGTTTTCATTTATCATATTTCATATCTATACTATTATTAATGCATATTAATAATATCAGTCAGGTATTATTAATCTGGTATAACAGTTATATAGATTTTCAAGTAGACCTTTATCACCTGAATTGCATAACGGTTAAATAAGCATCTCAGTTTTATTTTATTCTGTAGAAATCAGCCTAGAGCTGATAAACAACTTGAGCATGATACGAAATTCATTACATCAATTTCGACTCAAAAAGAAAGTAATTTCATAGATGAGAAAATAACAATAAAAATAACATACAGGTATTGGTTTATTCCATCGAGCTGGACGTAATGATTGTTGTATATCAGTTATGATCTTATCATCTATTTTATTTTCTTTGATACATGTTATTAGATTATCTAGAAAATTTATTCAATTAGTTAAATAAATAGATTAATTCAATAAGATTTTTCTTACCAATTTTATTAGTAAATAGATGAAGATCTTCATTGATTGTATCATCACCGCCTTTTTTTGATTGCTCATCAAGTTTAACTAAAAGTGTTTGTTTTTCCTATAGAATACAAAAACAAACATAAAATAATAATATCATGTTTTTGGTTTTTTAATTTACCAGAACTGTAGTATTCAATTCATCTTCTAATCTTGATAATTTATTTTTTAATAAACGTATTTCATCGAATGATGCATCTAATTGTTCACGTAAATTTCCTCCACCATCAACACTAACACCACGTCTCGATCGATTTCCATCTTTTCCTCCATCATCAATAAAACTAATATTACTATTTGAATTTGATGTTTTCTCAACACTTCGACTACGTTGTTTTAATATTTTATATTGTATACGTAATTGAGCGATTTCATTATCACGATTATTAAGATCTTCTTTAACTTGATTCATTTCATCATGAAGTATAGATATTTTCTGTTGATATGCATTCATTAAATCTGATATATCTTGTCCATTAATATTTGCTGAAGATTTTAGATAAGGATTGTTTTTATTAGTATTAGAATTGACCCATGTTAATTCTTCCATAAGAATATATTCACGAAAAAGTGATTCATATAAATACACAGATAATTCCCATGCATGATAATCATCATTTGTTTCCTAACAAAGAACGATATTTAATACAAAATAAATATTTAAACAAAAAAATAATTTTTACCGTTGATAATTTTTCATCAAATGATTCTTTAAGTGTATCTAAATGTTGTTTAAGAGCCATATTTAATTTTTCAGTTATCAATCTTGATTCTTCACTTTTTTCAAGTTCACTATGTAATCGTACACTAACTTCTTTTGCAATTAATAATTCTTCGTCAAGATCACGAACACGATAATTATCACGGGTTAATTGATGAATTTTTTCTATAGAAAAAAAAAACGAAAGAGAATCAGAACATTCAAGGGCTTCTCTTCTCGAAACCTTTCTTTTTTAACTTTCAATCGTTTATGAAACCTTCAAAAAATATTCTTTCTATACAATTCTAAGTATTCGTATTTATCAGTTGAGAGATAATCTTACCTTCCAATGTTGTTTTTTCGACTTCCATATTTTCATTTCGTTTTTCTGCTTTACGTAATTTAAATTGAAGAATACGACAATTTTTAGCTACAACAATAATGTTTTTTTAAATGAAAAATTAACATATTATTTTTAACAAACCAGCAATTTCAAGTTCTGCTTGTAATTGTTTGAATTCTTCAGCATCTTCTGTACGAAATTGATCTGTAATTTCATCCATTTCCTAATCAAATAATAATAATAGATCATTATTTATTTAAAACCTATCTTTAGACATGTTATCATATATGTATATGTATATATATATATATATTATGACCTTATCAATCAAGCTCATAGTAAAGTGTTAAAAGAAACAAAAAGAACACGATGATTATATGAGCATCATTGATTGCAGAACAAGGTCGACAAATTAAAGAATTATCATTTGACGAACATCTGTATACTATTGAAAGAGCTTGATCTTTTCAAGCATTTACTTAGATATACAAAGGAACAAACAAACCAAAAAATATATTATCTGTACATACCCGTCGTATATCATGAAGTTCTTGTCGAAGAGCATCGTTTTGTTGACGAAGTGCTTCACATACAATAATTGGATCAGAAGTTAAGGCTGTAAGACTTTCTAAATAGACATGCAGAGAAATAATGTAAATTTCAAGGATAATTATTCAACATATGCAGACTTATTATAAAAGCAAAAGAAAGAATTGTGCATACGCATGTTGATTTACTCTATTCTCTTATTCAAAGAGTGCTACTACACTTGAAGGGTATCGACGACCTGTTAGGTAATTTAACCATTATTGTACAACGATGATAGGCATATCGTAGTGAGCGATAACGACTTGAATAGTTGACAACTTTCTATATATGAGCACATATGCATGTGTTCTTCTGACATAGATTCAAGGTTTTTTATTCTATTAGTTATAATATATATTAAGAGAAATATTATTATATATACTTTTCAATAAGTTCATATGCAATTGCTTTTCTCATTATCACAGTTGACTATTGCGTTTAAAAGACAAGAGAATATAATCTGCATACATTATTTCTTTCTTATACTTTTCTTTGAACAAGAATAAAATAGATCTATTTGCACATAGGATGAGCAAATAGATAAATATAAAAACGATAAACAATCAATATTGTGTCATTGTTATATATAAACAATTGAAACATTATTTTCATGTATATCTATTCTTTGATAGGAGGGTATGATTAATGATGAACAATGAACAGATGTGTATGTGTCAGATAAAGACTATCTGGTCAATAAAAAGAAAAAAGGTCAGAATCTGTTTAAGTTACGTGATCAAGCAAAGATAGAGAGAGAGACCAAGTAAGTAATACTATCGATTAATATAATAGGAATTGAATCGTTGTTTAATAGAGACAAATCAAATGTATGTATATATGAAAAAAATGAACATATAATGAATTTTTAAAGAAAAATAAATAAATCGGTTTAAGAATATAATAGATCAATTTCCATTCGATTGTCTTTTCTTTCTATAGATAAACAAAACTAAATCGATTTTGTTCTCAATATTGATAATAGTCTACGGTATTAAATTTAAAAAATCTAATTAGACACGGATCAAACTACCTCTCGATAAATGTAATTGACAATCACAATGAATGACACTTTCATTATCTATCTATATCATTTACACTCACCTTCATCATTATGATGTTGTTTGATTATCATATTGTTCTCGTTGTTACCACTAGTATCAATGTCAATGGTGTCACTTTTTGTATTGCCATTCAATTCAGTAGAAGTGGAAGTGACAGCAGTAGCAATATTGCCAGTAGAAGTTTCAATAACCGCAGCCATTCATTCAATTTGTAAATATATGAATAAACGATTTGCAGTAGAAATAAATCAAAGACGACGATTACGTGATAACATTGACACCGAGAAACTAACTATCAGTAGTACTCTGACTAACATCATCATTGATGAAGACAAAATTGTTCAACAGTATGTCCGTCTCTTTCTTTTTTTTTCTCTCTTCTTCTTCTTACTTTTTTTT